AAAGAGAAACCTTGTATTGAAAAACAAAAAAAAAAAAAAAAAACAAAAAAGTGAATATTAAAATTCTGATAAAACAACCAAATTGAAAAGGTAAAGCACCAGGAGTCCCATTACCCAGATAAAACCACACTTCAGCATACACTTTTTTGAATATTGTCAAGATTTCCCGTTAATACATACCTGTTCTTTAAGAATACTGTTTTTAATCCTACTTCTTTTGTGTGTTCCTGTGATAACATGCCGTGTGTGTGTGTGTGTGTGTGTGTGTGTGTGTGTGTGTGTGTGTGCGCGCGTGCGTGTGTTTGGGGGGTCACAGGACAAAAGGAGCTGGCTGTCTACCCCCTGGGTTCCAGGGACTGGACTCCAACTGGGCTTAGTGCCACATGGCAAGCCCGCTGTCTCGCTGGCCCTCCCTTTTTCAAACTTACCCCAATAGCAGGCAACGACTAGGGCCTCGAACATGCTGGGCAGCTCTTCTACCGCTGGGCTCTAGCCCCTGCCCCCTCCCTGGCTTCCTTTTCCTCTTGGCCTCAGATTTTTGGCAGTCCTACCTCAGTCTCCCGGCAGCTGGGTTAGAGGCCAACACCATTACACCACCTCATGTCTGTCAGCTCCTATCGGCGAATACACTTTCTCTTCCTGTGTGTGTAGGTTTGAACCTAGAACCTCCTGAAGGCTAGGGAAGTGCTCTACCACTGAGCTACACTCTCTCAAGTTTCTGCCATTAAAATATTCCCATTACATTTATTTAGCTAATTGTATGCGTATGGAGATGAGGACTTCAGGGAGGTCCTCCCCCTCCACCATGAGGACTGAATGCAGGTCAGTCTGGCAGCAAACGCCTTTCCCCACAGAGCCATCTTGCCGGCCTCCTAGAACCTCTTAAGAGTCCGTATGTGTCGGCCTTACTGGAAGCCTGGGACCATGTGACTGAGAGCACAGAGGAGATGGGCAAGGGTTTCTTTCCTAAGTGCCGCTCTGTGACTCCTGCACACAGAATCCCAGACATGGAGGAGACGCGAGCATCAGTGTGCTGGGTCTAGAGACTGCTGAGCCGCTCTGCCTGCCTCCACGCGGACCCTCGCCTAACCCTGGCTAAGTGCTTACCTTCGGCTTGTTGCAGTTAGCAATCACTCGCAGGATCCTTCTCTTCAGGTCCTCCATGTTGGTCACGCTTAACCTGGTTGGTAAAAAATAATCTCAGTACCCGGTGTTGCCAACAACCCCGACCCCGTGGGCCACTTGAGGGACACTGACCTGGGAATGACATCCATTCCTAGGATAAGTGACACGATGAAGTCTTTGGAGTGTTCGTAAAGGGATTTGCTGGAAATTCAAGTGAGAGACAAGCTAAGTCCGTCTAGGTTCTGTTGCTGCAGGCTTCAGAGAGAATAAACAGCTGCCAGGGCAGATGTTGGTGTCACATTCCAATCTTCTAACAGAGAAACGTGACATGGGGACCCCAGGGCATGGTACAGCTAAATCACCAAATGATCCCTGTGACCCAGAAGGCCCCAATGGCACAATCTACCGAGGTGCCCTGGCAATATATGAGCAGGCAGAGGTAAAAGGCTAGCCACTGCAGTGTGTATCTGCAGGACAGAAGCTGGCCCAGTGCGGTCAGGCCTGTGATTCCAGACACTCGGAGGGTAAGGCAAGAAGACGTACCCACCAGGGCTAGACTGAATTCAAGGCTAGCTAGCTTGTAATCCCATTTAGCACTTAAGCAGTAGAGGGAGAAGGACTGAGAACTGGGACTAGCCTGGGCTACACAGTTAAGACCCTATCTAGAAATCACTAAAAAGTAAATATGTAAATAAAATATAAAGGTGAAAGTCATCTAAGAAATTTCTACTTCTGGTGTGAAAGGATTTTTTTTTTTCTGAGAGAATGAGAACAGAAAATAGCATGAATACTGGCTTTATAGAATTGTCTGGAACTATGTTGATATCCTGTGTACTAAATTAGAAAAGTTAAATAATAAAAGCAGTCCCTAAAATCAAGCTCATAGTGTATTTTTCCTACTGAGCAGGGTTCTCTTCTGGAGCACACCTATAGTCTCAGCCCTTGGGAGACTGAGGCAGGAAGATCACCAAGAGCCTGAGGCTAGCCTGGGCTACATGCAATTTAGGCCAGGCTAGGCTACACTGTGAGACTGTCTCATCAAAACCAAAAAGCAAACCCACAATATTTCTGCATCACTCCTATTTTTCTGGCACAAACTTTACCTCATCACAAGCAGATACCTGACAAGTTCTTTACGTTATTTTCAGCTAATCAGTGCAGGAGGAAAGGAAGCCTACTTTCTATTACCTGCCCTCTGAGAAAGTCCATCTAAGGAAATGGCTGTTACTGCCAACACTGAGGGGTGAGATGGTGAGTGAGTGTGGCCAACAGGAAGTATATGGAGTGCTAAAACCATGCCCTCTGAATCAGATCTAATCTTAGTGACCTTTTGCCAGGTGTGACGGTGCACATCTTTAATCCCAGCACTAGAGGAGGCAGAGGCAGGTTGATGTCTGAGTTCAACTTCAAGCAAAGGCTACATAGGGACCCTGTCTCACAAACAAAAATCAAGCTGGGTGGTAGTGGCGGCGCATGCCTTTAATCCCAGTATTTAGGAGACAGAGGCAGGCGGATCTCTTGAGTTTGAGGCCAGCCTGGTCTGCAAGAGCTAGTTCTAGGGCAGCTAGGGCTGTTACACAGAGAAATCCTGCCTTCAAAAACTAACACATAAACCAAAACAAAAGATCTGTTTTCTGCATTTTTCATTTTTTTTAAAAAGATTTATTTATTATGTATACAACTTTCTGCCTCCATTTATACCCACACACCAGAGGAGGGCGCCAGATCTCTTTACAGATGGTTTGGAGCCACCATGTGGTTGCTAGGAATTGAACTCAGGACCTCTGGAAGATCAGACAGTGCTCTTAACCACTGAGCCATCTCTCCAGCCCCCCCCCCTTTTTTTTTTGAGACAGGGTTTTTCCATGTAGCCCTAGTTGTCCTGGAACTCATGCTGTAGACCAGGCTGGCCTCAAACTCAGAGACCCACCTACCTCTGCCTCCTGAGTGCTGGGATTAAAGATGTGCACCACCACTGCCCAGCTGTATTTCTCAAATATTTTGATGGCTATATAGTAGGTTTTTTTTTCAGTTCTGTTTTTACCTTTTATTGTTTTAATCCTTAATTAGTTTTAGTCTTTTTTGCTGTAGACGGATTTCTTTTATAAGCAAGGCAAAGCTTACATGTCCAGTCAGCATGCTCAGCTAGCGGGAAAACAGGTCCAGCTCATAAACGTCCTGTTTGCTCAGCCCCAGAGAATGCGCGTGGTCCAGGTGACGCCCACACACATGATGGATGCCAGGTGGCAGTGATGTGCCACTCGGGGCTACCATGGATCAGAAGCGCACAGCTGGGGTCAGGGGAGGAGCAGGCAGCAGGGGAGGCTCACATGGCAGGCAGAGTATGTGTGGATTCTCTGTTACAAAAGGGCTCGGCAGGTAAAAACACTTGCTGCCAAGCCTGATGCTCTGAGTTCAACCCCTGGGACACGGACAGTGGAAGAGGACGGACGCCTCCATGGCATAAACACACCCACACAGACACACATGCATGCTCCTGCAAAGAAATGCAGTTAAAACATGAAAAAAAGGGAAAGATTTGAGGCCGGAAACGTGCTTAGTGGTGGAGGACAAGCACTCTAGGCACGCGCGCAGGAGAATGGACGCCCTCTGCTGGCTCCCACAGACAGCTGCACAGACGCAGTAGACTCAGACACACATAGAGTTTGAAGTTTCTTTTCTTTTTAAGTGGATGGTAGACAAGTGATGTACCATTAAACTACATTTCTAGTCCTAAAAACCAACTTTTAGGAGCTGGAGAGATGCTTCAAAGCACACCCAGCTCTCCCAGAGGACCCTGGTTCCCAGTCCCCAGCTGGACAGTTCACAATTGCTACAAGTATGTGTCCCAATGCCTCTCCTCTGCAGGTACCTGCTCACGTGTGCACACAAAAAAGATCTTTAAAAAGCAACAAAAGGAACCTTAGAAATCTATCATTTAGCCGGTAATAATCCCAGCCACTATGGAGGCCGAGGCACAAGGATCAGTTCAATGTCTCCCCTCAGCCCCGCAGCCAGTTCCAGGCCAGCCTGGGCTACGCAGGAAATTAGAGCTCTTGGCCGGGCTTCTCTAAGGACTGTAATTCTCTTGCCTCTGCCTTCTGAGTGCCTGCATCATAGGCATGCAGCACCGTGTTCAATTTACATAGTCTTTCTTCAGCTCCATAGTCTTTCTTTGCCCTTTTGATACAGGGTTTCAGGCAGCTCAGGGTCTAACCTGCCATGTGGCCGGAGAGAAACCTTCACCATGTAAGCTTCCCACCGCAGCTTCTCCAGAGCTGGAGTGACAGCAGTAGGCTAGCCCAGGCTTCAGGGATGCCACACGTCAGCATTACAGTGTGTCACAACACACTTCTGGGGAGGAGAGGTAATTCAGTTATGTGAATGAAAGAGCACCTGCTTGACTGTCCTGCAGAGAGTGAAGCCTTACCTCAGGAGCCCCCTGGGTGGCGAGAAGGCATATGCACGGACTTGTGGGTAGGCCTTCCGGAGCATGATGGCTAACAGGGCCGCAGCTCCGGCTCCTAGGCTGTGCCCCACCAGAACGAGCCGGTACTCCTGGGGGACGGAAGGCAGAGGGAGTTGAGGCCCAGAAGAACAGATGGACCGTGACAGTAACAGAAAATAGAAGAATGAACCGATCTCACCGGAGCGACACTGAAGGCTTGGCTCAGAATCCCATCGTTGACCAGTCTGCGGTAAATGTACCTGGCTGCTTGAGCAATTCCCTGGAGGAATAGATGGGGTGAGGTCAGTGTGGCTCGGAAGGCGGTCTCTGGCCTACTGTTCACTGATACACTCTGGGCCTATGTCCCAGAGGCTGGCTGCCAGGAAGTGGACGCTGGTATGTATCTAAGCCAGTGGGTGTCACCAGGAACACCCATTTATGCAGCAGGCACATCTGTAGTTCTGTGTGCTAGTCCGTAGCTGCACGACACACGACGTTGAATCCTCTAAGGACTGGGGATTGAAGCTGGGGGCCCTCGTGTATGCTGGGCAAGCAATCTACCACTGAATTATACCAGACCCTTTAGAACTTGTTTTTATGGGCCGGAGAAATAGACCAATGATGAAGAGTGCTTCTGTCAGTGACCAGAGTTCAGTTCCTCACACCCACATTAGGTAGCCCACAGGCACCAGCTTGAGGGGATCCGTTGCCCAATTCTGGTCCGCATGGGCATGTGCACATGGACACATACATAAATATGTCTAAAAAGTATTTTTTTTTTGAGATGGTTTTAAAGTTGCCAGTCTGGCTCTCAATTTGATATATAAGTCAGCCAGGCCTTGCACTTTGTGTGTGTGTGTGGTGTCTTCAAACTGAAAGATCACAAACAGAAGAAAGCAGAGGACCTTGGGAAAGCTATTTATTAGTGCTTCTCATTGAGCTGCAGCTGACGGGAAGAGAGCAATTTAGAGTGGGGCACACTTACAGGTTATGTGGTGATGAAAGACCCCCAAAGTGAGCCAGGAGCTCTGGTTTTGCGGTTTACTCTTTTTCCTTTCTTTCTTTTTAATTTTCTGGAACTGGAGTTACAGACAGTTGTGAGCTGCTATGTGGGTTCTGGGAGTCGAACCCTGGTCCTCTGGAAGGGCAGCTAGTGTTTATAACGGCTGAGCCATCTATCTCTCCAGCCTTGCAGCTAACTCTTAGTTGGAAAGGCAGATGCGGCAATGAATGCCCCACATGAGGGTGATGTTGTGCACGAGAACCAAACAGAACTGTTTCCAGAGAGCTCTGTTAAAGTCTGGTTGCCCGTTTAACAGCGAACAGGATATGGCTGGTAGTGTCAACAAAGATACGGAAGAATAAAAAACTACTTTGGGGGCCAGAGAAGTGGCTCAGGGGTTAAGGGCATTTGCTGATTTCCAGCTCCTGACCAGGTGAGTCACCCCTGCCTGTAGCTCTAATGCCAGGCATCTGATGCCCTCTTCTGGCCTGGGTGGTCACTGCAGACGTATGGCACCCATACAGACAGGCAGGCGTGTGTGCACCCAGGGAAATAAAAATACCATTTGAAAAGATACTATTTTGAGAACTACAGCAAGACTGATATGAGTTATGAAAGATGGGCAGACTGGAGAAAAGGAGGATTTTCTTATTTATTTACAGGGATCTGTTTGTGTAGTCCAAGCCTCAGACTCACTCACATGTCGCCAAGCCTTAAGCTTCCAAGTCTCCTACTGCTGCCCCCTGAGTGCTGAAGGTGTGCACCACCACACCCAGTTCACGTGATGCTGGGCACTGAACCCGGGGCTCCATACATGCTGAGCAAACACTCTGCTGACTCGGCCACACCCCTGGCCCTGTTGTAGTAGTATCTGGTGATCATAAACAGTTGCTAACACGATTATTGTTTGAAATAACAATACCATTAGTGGGTACAGCTCTGAAGAAGGCCACCCCCCGTCTCTCTCCCTCTCTTGTGTGTGTACATTAGTGTTCATGTACACGAGTGTGGATTCACACTTGTCACAGCAGGCAAGTGCAGGTCTGAGGACACCCCCGGTGTTGGGCCTTGCCTTTAATTTCAGACGGTTTCTTGTTGTTAGCCTTTTGTCTATGCTGGTCGGTTCTAGAGCTTCTGGGATTTTCCACCTCCATCTTCCCAGAGTGGAGACTGCAGGTGCCCACTTATTGTTTACCCTGTGCTGGCCAGGCAGCATGGCCCAGACTTAGTCTGCTTCCACCCGTCCGGTGCTGACATCACAGATGCACACTTACACATGAATGCTGGAGATCCAAATTTAGATCCTCACACCTGCCTGGCCAGCACTTCACTCGCTGAGCCATTCCCCTGGCCCCATTCAACTGAACGGATTTAAACACCCAATCTAGGTTTAGGGATACCCTATCTCAAAATATAAGGTGGGAAGCAATTGGAAAAGACAGCCAGCGTCAACCTCTGACCTTTATATGCACATATACACACATGTACGTGAACCTGCACACACATAGGAACACACACACACACAAAGATGAACACCAGAAGACGCAACCTCACAAGGAGAGAGGGTAGGATATCAGAGCTGGGAGTGGGGCCGTTAGCGTTTAGTAAGCCCAGAGCCAACATCAGGGTTCATCAAAAATTAGGGTATAGGCCAGGCGGTGGTGGCGCATGCCTTTAATCCCAGCACTTGAGAGGCAGAGGTAGGCGGATCTCTGTGAGTTCGAGAACAGCCTAGTCTACAAGAGCTAGTTCCAGAACAGGCTCCAAAACCACAGAGAAACCCTGACTCGAAAAAAAAAAAAAAAAAAAAAAAATTAGGGTATAGACAGAAAAGACGGGCATACAACATTGTATAAACACATGATGGCAATGACACAAACGGTTAAAATGATAAATGTAATCCACCCATCCAGCATCCACATATCCATCTACCACTGATCTATCCATCCATTCATCTATCCCTCCATCTACCCATCCACCCACTCACCCACCCACCCATCTACCCATCCATCCATCCGTTCATCTATCCTCCATCTACCCGTCCACCCACTCACCCACCCATCCACCCATTACCCGCCCATCTATCCATTCATCTATCCCTCCATCTACCCATCCACCCACCTACCCATCACCCACCCACCCATCCACGCATCTGTCTTCCCATCCATCATGTTTTCTGGTTTGTTGAGAGAAGGTTCCAAAGCTCACAATGGCCTGGACCTTGCTGTGTAGCCTGAAATTAACTCATGGTTCTTCTACCCAAGACTCTCCATGTCTGGAGTTATTACACTCACTTTACAATGTTTAAAAACCATTTCATACGCACACATCCATCTGAGGTGGGGTTTTCCTCCTCCAAGAGGAACTCTGCCCCACTCACCCCCACAGAAAAGGAAGAGAGAAACAGAACTAGGCTCTGGCCACATCCACAGAGAACTTGTGGGAGTGAGCTGTCCATCCAGCCTGTGCCGCCCACACGGCTGGAGCTCTTGCTCTGCTGCTCTGGCGGGACCAAGCACTTTCCCACGAAGATATCAGCTTTTAATTAGAGGGGAAGTGACTGTGGCTGCAGTTCAGTTTCTAGATGCTTGTCCAGCCCGCATCAGACTCTGGGTGCCACCCTAACCCGGAATCCTCATATCCAGACAGTGGATGCGAGAGGAACGCAAGTTAGCTATAGGCCAGCTTGGGCTACATGGGACTCGTGCCTAAAAAAAGGAGGCTGAGGCTGGGTGGTGGTGGCACATGCTTTTAATCTCAGCACTTGGGAGGCAGGGGAAGGTGGATCTCTGTGAGTTCAAGGCCAGCCTGGTCTACAAAGTGAGTTCCAGGACAACCAGGGCTACACAGAGAAAAACTGTGTTGAAAAACCAGAAGAAAAAACAAAAAAGAGGGAAGGAAAGACAGCCCGCCTCAAGTGTTGATCTGACAGTCCATCCTCCGGCTTCAGCCACGTTACTCCATCTCTTTGAGACGTCCCTCTCAACACAAACATACCTTGTGGGCCACACAGTCCTGCAGCTCTGCCTCCAGCTCGATGTTCTCACTCTCTGCAGACAGGTCAGTCAGGACATCCTGGGAATGTGGGCACAGCAATGTCAGCCTGTGAAGCTGCACGGCGGGTGAAGGTGGCATGTGTGGAGACTGAGGACAGGGACCCAGAGCGGTCAGACTGCTGAGAGAGATGTGTCCAGCCTCTACAATAGCTGAGGCAGGAAGCTGGCGGGGTGCCAGGCAGGAATGGCGGTGATAGAAGGGACATCTAGAAACACCTTTGTCTTGCACACTGATCTTCCCAGCCCAGAGCACAAATTAGGGTTTGAGCAAAGCCCTGTTTCTGCCCTGGAACACACACACAATGGCTCACTAAACAACAAAGATGCTGACAGGGGAGAGGGTGAGTGGCCGGGCTGAACCTGGAGGGAAGCAGAGTAACCATCCTCCCTGGGCTCCATGCTGTTTTGGTTTCTGTTTGTGACCGGCTTTGAACTCCTGACTCCCATGCTGGGACTGTAGGCAAGTACCGCATGCCTGGCTTACTTCTACAAGCGACCCACTGGGGACTCCTGGCACTCTTAGTGCTGTGTACAGACTGGGACAGCTCACAGAGCACCCAACAGGCTGGCAGGGAACGAGCACTCGGAGGAAAGCCGTGTGTACTGGAGGTTTCTGGAGGAGGAAGGAAAACGCTGAGGCCTGTGCACAGCATGGAGGAGAGACTGGAACAGGCTGTGCTGGGTGCACGCTTTCGTTCCAGCACTTGGGGACACTTGGGGGCTACACAGGAAAGAAAACGGATTGACTAGGATGACCGAGATGACGGGAAACCTTTCTTTCGGTGCAGGGAACCAAATGGTCAAAACAAGGGCTGGGAAAGGACCTAGTTAGAGAGCCTGAGGCTGTGAGAGCTAAGACGATCGACTGAGCAAGGAGTAGTGGGCAATACTAATAACAGATAATGGGCTGAACGCCCGCCTTCCACACGGTATGTTAGGTGTTCTGCCCTGAGTCTGAAAGGGAGATGCCAGGCAGGTGCTCCCCTGCTGCATGACATGGCCCAGGAATCTTTTCTTAGACCAGGCCTCACGATGTAGCTTTGGCTGGTCTAGAACTCACTCAGTAGACCAGGCTGGCCTCTAACTCTCAGAGATCTGCCTGCCTCTGCCGCCCAAGGGCTAGAATTAAAGTTGTGGCACTAGCATGTCCAGCCCAGCCCTCTTTATTATTATTTCTTTATGTGTTTACTTGTGTGTCTGTATACCATATGCACGCCTGATCCCCTGGAAATGGAGTTACAGATGACTGCGAGCTGCCATGTAGGTGCTGGGAATCGAACTTAGATCCTCTGAAAGAGCAGTCAGTGCTCTAGGGCTGAGCCATCTCTTCAGCCCTGTTTTATTTTGATATAGGGTCTAAGTTGCTCAGGCTGGCCCTAACTTTAAAATCCTCTGTTTCAGCCTTCAAAGTGTCTGGATTCTAGGCCTGTTCTGCATACTCAGCAGTCACACTGGTCCTTCCTGGGCCTCCTGGGAGAACCAGGAAGTGAGAGTGGGGGTGGCAGACAAGAAACCAGAAAGCAGATGCTGAAAGAGGGAAGAGAGCAGGACAAGAAGTGGAGGCGGGAGAGGACTGGAGGTGGACAAAGGGCTCGCTGCATCCAGAAGAGGCAGCACATGGTGACTGGAGGAAGGGAGGGCCTGAGAGAACCCCCAAAGGAACTTGAGAGTACGTGACTATTTTTTTAAGTCTTTGTGTGTTGTGTATGAGTGCGTGTGCATGTTTGTGTATGAACGCAGGTGCACGTGTGCCACAGCCCAGGTACGGCGGTCAGATCAGAGACGTGCTCCATGTCAGCCTTCACCTCCACCTGGCTTGAGGTAGGGTCCCTTGTCAGCCGGCGTAGACGCCAGGCTATCTGGCCCTTGGGATTCTAGAGTCTCCTGTTTTCATCTCCCATTCTGCTGCAGGAAAGCTGGGACCACAGACGCGGTACCGCCCCTGGGTTTTACGTGGGTTCCAGGGACCTTACGCAGATCCTCACCGTTCCCCTCAGCGCACTTTACCGTCGAACGTCTCCAAGCTGCCCCTCCCACTTCTTCAAAATTCAGTCTTACTCTGTAGCCCAAGCAGGACTCAAACTTGGAATCCTTCTGCCTCAGCCTCCGGAGGTGGGATTACAGGAGTGTCCCACCACACGGCCCAGCATGTCTTCTCACGGAAGGCTGACCCCACCATCCTATCTGGCTCTGGGTGCAGGAATTAGAGGGCGGGCTACTCAGGCTTGGGGCTCATCTAGGCACATCTAAAGAGGGTCAGCAGGAGACGACCAAGCCGGTATCCCTGTAGACTGTCTTGGAATGTGTTGGCACCTCCGCTGCCAACAGCTGGCCATTAAGTGGGAACCACCTCCCTGTGTTTCATCAAGTCGGTGTTCCACAACCCACGTTCACTTCCTGGCTCCAGTGCTTCCCCTGGTTACCTCACAGTGGCTTTCTCTGTTCCTAACGAAGATTTCCTCTGCCTCAGCACCCACCCATGGCTCACTCTCTGCTCCCCAACAGTGCCCAGATCTGAACCTGTCAAACACGGCGTCATTACCTGGAGAGACATGGTTCCTCTCACAGCAACCACCACGGCCTCTTTTCTGTGATCCAGAACCACTATGAAGGGCAGCTCATAGACCTGGAAGAGAAGAAGCCAGCACAAGGCCTGACCCACGGGTCACAGAGCACCACCACCAACAAAGAAACCTGCGTGTCTGTGACCTGGTTTCTCTATCCTCCTGTCTCCCAAGTGCTGGGGTTGTACACACCACCATACCTGCAACTTCAGGTTTTTTTCTTTAAATTACATTTATAATGTGAGGGTGTGTGTGCGGGCGCATGAGCATGTGTGTGTCACACAGCATGTGTGAAGAAATTAGAAGACAACCTGAGGGAGCTTGTTCCCCTTCTATTGTATGGGTCCCAGAGATTGAACTCAAGTCCTCAGGCTTGGAGGCAGACACCTTTACCCACTGAGTCATCTCACTAGCCCGACTGTAGAAGACTTAGTTCTGCCAAGAGATTCTGTGGGTCACAGAGTCTGAAAACAGTTGCCCTCTACCAGGTTTTGCAGTAGAGAAGAAGTTGGAGAGCTGCTGAGCAATGCTAACCACAGATTTGAAGGTGGTAGGCAGGTAGGGGTGTGTGTGTGTGTGTGTGTGTGTGTGTGTGTGTGTGTGTGTGCGCGCGCGCGAGCATACACTGGAGTGTGACTTCCATTCCAGGCCTTGTGGTACAGGCTTGTATCCCAGCTGTTTAAGAAGCTGAGGCTGAGGTTGAAGGAAAGCAAATTGAAGGCCTATTTGGGTCACAGGCTAAGCTCTGGGCCAGCATATAGGCAACTTAGAACATTTAGAAATAAAAAGTAAAAAGGAGGCTGGGGATGCAAGATGGTTCAGTGACTGAGATATTCACCGCTAAGCCTGATAGCCTGAGTTCAACACCCAGTACCCATACGCACGCATGCATGCATGTGCACACACACACTCCTCCCACTAGATCCCAGAGGACTCTCGGACCCACATCTGGACACCCCGTCTGAGACAGCACCTTGTCGTGAAAGCTGATGTGAATGAAGTCCCGGTACTGCAGCCCGGTCGTCTTCAGGATGGAGGCAAAGTGGCAGTTGTGCTGGTCCCCGTCAACTGCGTCATACTCCGTCTCTCTGCTTCTGCAGCTGAAGGGAAGACAAAGCTGACTGGCAGTCTGGGCCCCCTCTAGGATTTATCTAGGAAATTCAGGGTGGGGGAGGGCTGACCACTTCTAAGACAGTCTAAGAACAGTTTCTCAAGTCGCAGGGAATGGAATCCATGGTCTTGCACATGGGGTAAACACTTTTTCACTGAGCTACATTCCTGACTCTTCTTTTCTTCTTTTCTTTCATGTCTCTATGTGTGTGCGCACATGTGCAGGCCCATGCATTTATTCATTTCTGTGTGTCTGTGTGTGTGTACATGTACATGCATTCATTCATCTTTGTGTGTCTGTGTATGCACATGTGCAAGCCCATGCATTCATTCATTCATTATCTGTGTTTGTGCACATGTGCACGACCATGCATTCATTCATTCATTCATTCACCTCTGTGTGTTTGTGTGTGCACATGTGCAGGCCCATGCATTCATTCATTCATCTGTGTGTTTATGTGTGCACATGTGCAGGCCCATGCATTCATTCATTCATTCATCTCTGTGTGTTTATGTGTGCACATGTGCAGGCCCATGCATTCATTCATTCATCTCTGTGTGTTTATGTGTGCACATGTACACGACCATGCATGCATTCATTCATTCATTCATTCATTCATCTGTGTGTTTATGTGTGCACACGGGCAGGCCCATGCATTCATTCATTCATCTCTGTGTGTTTGTGTGTGCACATGTGCACGACCATGCATTCATTCATTCATCTGTGTGTGTGGGTGTGTGCACATATGCATGTCCATGCATCCATGGAGGCCAGAGGAGGTCATATCCTACTCTCTCATCTGTGTTAATTCCTTTGAGATAGGGCTTCTCACGGAACTGGAGCTAGGCTGGAGGCCAGCAAGCCCCAGGGATCCTCCTGTCTCTCTACCTCACCCCCACCACAGGGGACACAGGCAGAGTCGGAACAAGCTTTCTCATGTGGATGAGGGGCTTTGAGCTCCAGGCCTCCTGCCTGAACAGCAAGCATGACACTGACCATGCCACCTCTCCAGCCCCATGACCAGGAAAGACACAAGGATTGCCTGTGTGACTTCGGGAGCACTGGGGATCAAGCATGAGAACAGACTGCCCTGTGGCTGGGTTCAAGGGCTTGCAGAGGGTAAAGTGACAGATACAATATGGGAAAGGTCATGCCAAACTTCTGTGTCGGGTCAAGAAAATGGCTCAGCAGGTAAAGGCACCTGCTGCCAAGTCTCATGACCTGAGTTCAATCCCTGGGATGAGATCTACATGACAGACAGAGAGAATAAACTCCTACAAGTTGCCCTCTGCTCTGACATCCATGGACACACACACATATGTAACTCAACTTTTTTTCTTGAACTGTCAAACTGTCGACCAGGAAGTCCTGCAGGCCGCAACGCCCCAGAGGGATGGACGCCAAGCACTTAGATCTTGGTTTCTAATTAGCATCTCCACCTTGCAGGGTGAAGGGCAGAAACCACTCCAGGGCAAGCAAAGGATGCAATTTCAACTCCTTTCATCAGGATCCTTCCATCAAAGCCAAGATGGCTCAGTGGTTAAAGGTGCGTGGTGAGTGATTTCACACGAGTTCCCTCCCAGAGCCCACGGTGAGGCAGGAGGAGGTCAGAAGACAGCACTGTCGTTTGCTGTGGCATACACATACCCACACACATCTCAGGCACATGTTAATGATAAATAAAACCTGAAATATTTCCATCAGAAATGCAGGAAGAGGCCATGTGTGGCGGCATGAGCCTGTAACCCTAGCACTTGGGAAGTGGAGGCAGGAGGATCAGGAGGCCAAGGGTATCCTTGGCTACATGACATCCTGCCTCAAAATCACCAAAAAACAAAACAGGTAACTAGGGAAGTGCTCAGAAAGTGACAGGGACCCATCAAAAGGACACAGGAACCAGCCTGCAAAGTCAGGCCGGGGCATGTGAATACCAAATACTAATTATAGAAATGACAGTAATGAACCATGGCTGTGGATGAAGCAAGAAGCATGTGTTGGAAGTGATACCAAGGATCTTGCTGCACAGCAGAAGAAATGGTGATTTGAGAAAAACAGCAAGTTCCCACCCACTCTAGTCGTGATTGACTGAAGTAAGAACAAAGGGATGCTAAATCTGGACCTGGTGGCTGAGGGCTGGGCTTAATGTGAGGCTGCTTTCCCAGCAGGAGCAAGGCCTGGGTTCGAGCAGCAAGGAAAAGAGTAGGGCTGGTGTTCAGTGGGTGAAGAGCACAGGCTGTGCAAGAGGATCAGAGTTCGAATCCACAGAACCCATGCCCTGTGCCAGGCGAGGCTGTGAAAGTCCTGGAACCCAGCTGGAACTGCGAGGTGATGGGTGGAGTCAGGAGGACCCTGTCCTGAGAGAGTAAAGTGGAGAGAAGGACGGCAGGACACAGACATCCTCCTCTGGTCTCCAAACCCTACACACGCATGTGAACATGCACACGCGTTTGGACATATACCACTGTCAGATATTACACACATACACATTACTGCGTATTCAAGTTACCAGTCAGTTAGCAACCAATTAGAGTATTGATTTTTATAATTTTACTACAATGAACGTCCTGAGGAAATTCAGCCAAGTTGCTAGCAGACCTTTATCCATTAAGCATGAGATGTTGGCCCAGTGGGAAAGGTCCCTGCCGCCAAGCCTGACGTGAGTCTGAATCCCAAGAACCACAGTGGGTGATAATAGTTTCCTCAAAATCCCTCCTGCCTTCAGAGATTAAACATTTTCCAGACCATGTGATCAAGTTAATAATAAGCCCTGAAAAGGCAGGCATGGTGGCGCAGCCTTTCACCCAGCGCCCAACCTGCTCAAGTCTAATCCGCTCTTGAGAGGACCGGCTTCAATATGCTTGTATTTCCCATGTAACCAGCATCTACAACCTAAGCCAAATGCATAGCTCCACTCTTTCCTGTTTAGTTTTTGTGGCGGGGTTTCTCTGTGTAACAGTCCTGGCTGTCCTGAACCTCACTCTATAGAGCAGGCTGGCTTGAACTCAGAGAGCTCTGCCAGCCTCTGCCTCCCGAGTGCTGGGTTTAATGGCGTGTGCCACCACTGCCTGGCCGCCTAGCTCCACTCCTCCATGCTGGCCCAGAATAACATAGGTATGTGTGTGTGGTGGTAACCATTTGCTGAAGACGCCAACAGGTTGAGAGTGACCTTACACAGTGACGACCCCATGAATGCTGGAAACATGTAGATAAAGGGTGACAACATCTGTACGTGGTTCTGAGCGCTGTTCTGGGTCAGCTAGGGTCAGTAAGCTTTTTCAGAAGTTGCAAGTGCCAGGCGTGGCGCACGCCTTTAATCCTGGCATTCGGGAGGCAGAGGTGGCAGCCTCATCTATATGATGAGTTTCTTTCAGGCTAGTCAGGACCAACATAGTGAGACCTCAAAACTTAGAGCTAAGGCATGAAATTTCAGGACACAGACACAGCTCCAGAAAGATTCTAGGAAAAGGACTTAAGACTCCATTCTATTCTTGGATGCTTTCTCTTAGAGAGAAATTCCATGAGAGGCTCACCCTAGGCTGACCTACCAGTCACCACCAATCCTGCAGAGCCCGGTGAACGGGTTTCTGTAGATGTAGAGGGGCCATCCGTAGGCGGCGGCTGCAAACGGCATGAAGTGATGGCAGTTCTCCACTTCGGCATCCAAGTCGGCTTCCTGGGGGAGAGGAGGGAAAAAGCCTTTTAGTGTGTGGCATCCATGCAAGGGATGAACCCGGAGATCTGCGTGTCCCACAACCCGAGCCTCGGGGTCTGTCTCCACCTTCTACCCGTTAGAACCATGTTTGCTGGACCCACCCAGCTGGCTGGTCCTCCAGCCTCCAAGAGTCCCCTACCTCCAGCTCCCATCTTGCTATAGGAGCCCCAGGATCACAGAAGTGCTCCATTATGTGAATTGGGGGGGTGTCCCCACACTTGTGAAGCAAGCCTCTTAGCCTGCTGCGTCACTCCCACCCTCACACCAAGACTTTAGTCTTGTGCTCCACCTTCTAATCCTTCCTGCTTTTCCTCCTTGACTCTCGAACATTCCTTTTCTCCCCATGTGTATTTGTGGGGTACCTGCGTGCATGCGTGTTCACAGGGTGTGGGCACCTGTGTGTGCATCTGTGTGCATATGGACACCCAAGTCTCACATCGAGAATCTTCACTCTCCCACCTTATTTGCCAAGGCAGAGTCTTTACCTCAAACCCAGACTTGACCTAGCCAGCTTGCCTGAAGGCTACCCCACCCCCATCTTTACCTTCCAAGGCTGTAATTACAGATGGGCCAGCACACCCAGCCAGCATTTACATGGGTTCTGAGGACCCCAACTCCAGCCCTCACAGCTGTGTGGCAAATATAGTTAACAGCTGAGCTGTCTCTCCAGTTTTTTGTAGGGGGAAACTGGTATTTGTTTTGAAGACAGGGTCTGTGTACCCTGGCTGTCCTGTCCTGGACCTTGCTATGTAGACTAGGCTAGCTTAGAACTCAGAGATCTACCTGCTTCTACCTCCTGAGTGCTGGAATCGAAAGCATGTGCCACCACAGCCAGCACTTGTTTCTTGAGACAAGGTCTCCCTAGGTATCTCTGGCTGGCCGGGAACTCTCGGATCCACCTGCTCCTAAACAGCCACCGGTGGACTCCACCGGAACTGTGGCGAGGGAGAAAGGCAGGGGTCCCTGCTCAGTCTTCTGGCTCCTGCCAGAAGTTCCTGCCTAGAGTTCTTCATGGCTTTCCACGCTGGACATGGGCAGTTTCAACACCTGGAGGAGGCACGCCACTGGGGGAGGGTTTTGAGGTTTCAGAAGACCGACACCATTCCCAGAAGCTTTTTCTTTGTCTCACGGTTGTGTCTCAAGATGTGAGCTCTCAGCTTCTACTCCAGCACCACGCCTGCTTGCTGCTGCTGACAGTCATGAGCTCTAGACCTCTACAACTGTAAGCCCCCAATAGATGCTTTCCTTCGTAAGTTACCTTGGTCCTAGTGTATCATCACAGCAACAGAAAAGTAACTAAGACACAGATCGAAAGCCTGGAGGACTCCACGGCTTTCGACCCCTGTGACACGGGTGCAGTCACTGCTGGCAGAGGGACACACAGTCTACGGTTTCTCTGCCATACACTCTATGTGTTACTTTTCTGTTTTTTTGGTTTTTTTTTGTTTTGTTTTGGTTTTTTTTTTTTTGTCTTGTTTTTGAGGATCTGGGAATACGGTTCAGTGATGGTACATGTGCTGGGTTCCACACCCAGCAATACGAGAAGGGAGGGAGGAAGAGAGAGAGGAGGAGAGGAAGACAGAGGAAGAGGGAGAGAGGGAAGGAAAGAAATGAATGAATTAGTGTTGTCCCTTCTACTGTGTAGCCTGGGATGGCCTGGAACTCACAATCCCCCTGCCTCTGCCCCCTACTGCTGGAATGCAGGCATATACTTCCAGGCCTGGCATGACTTTATCTTTGGAAAACAAAGTTTCATGGCAGAAAAAATTTCACCAAGCAAAGCTTGAGCTGTTTTTGCTTCCTAAACCTGGAGAAGAAAACATACTCTGAGGTGACTCAGGCCCCATCCCAGAAGGAATTCTTCCAGAACATAGGACCAAATATTGACTTCCCTACAGCGCAACCTAGACAATAAGATGGAAGTAGGCTTCCTGTACCTGGAATCTAGGTGAGAAAGTTGGGTTTTGGTCCAAAGGCTACTGAAACTGTTCTTGGCTACTTCTCCTGCCTCTTCTCCCTTCTCCCATCTGTCCCTGTCTTCCTATCATTCCTCCCCTTCCCTCACCTTCTCTCCTCTTACACAGGGTCTATTTCTAGCCCGGGGCTCCCTACATAGCCCAGGCTAGCCTCCTACTCACAATCCTTCTGCTTTAGCTGTATGACTCTGAAGGTCTACATAGATGCACGAATGTTGGCGGTGTCGTCATTACCTGAGACTGCCCTGGAAAGTGGGTGACGACCTCCTGAGGCTCCAGGCTGCTGCTGATATTGTCCTGTTGCTGGTGGAGAAGGGTGAAGCCTGCTGCAATATCACTGGGCACCAGGTCTGTGTCCTGGGTGGGAAAGCACAATGGCCTGCCGTAAAAACCCATCAGATGGTCCAGAAACCTCTTAGCATTCAGTTAAAGAGTTCACACACAGGCTCATTACATAGAAAAAGGTATTTATTATTTTCTATGTGTCTGAGACAGTCTCATGGAGCTTAGGATGGCCTCCAGCTCACTAAGTAGTTAAAAATGACCTGGGATTCCAGATTCTCCTGCCTCCATTTCCCAAGTATAAGCATGAGCCACCACACCCAGCTTAGAGAGTATTTAAAGGTACTTCTGTGTGTGTGTGTTCACGCGCGTGTGCGCGTGCACGCGCATGCACACATCCATGCATACCACATGAGTGGGGGAGCCCCCAGAGGCTAAACTGTGGGATCCCCTAGAGCTGGAGTCACGGGCATTTGTGAGTTAAACCAATGTGAGTGCTGGAACTGAATCCAGGTGTTCTGTAAGAGCAGGAGCTTTAACCACTGGGCCGTCCCTCCATTCCCTTAAAGATCCTTTAAAGAGCATTTTCCTTTGCGGGATTCCTCCTAGATGTGAGCTTAGCATTTTTCCTATCTTGTCCTCAAACAAATATGCTAGATTGATCATTTTATCAAAATTTGATTTTAAGTGACTTAATAACTATTTCTGTTTTAAAAAATGTGTGTCTGTGTACAAGTGCACACATGTCAGAGTGCATGTGTGACATTCACAGGTTGGTTCTCTCCTGAGGCAGGGTCTCTCTTGTTTATACTTGCTGAACTCTGTACTAGCCTGTGAGCTTCCATCCTAACCACAGGCGTGCTTATGCTTACGTGCACAGGATCAGAGGTGTGCACCACCATGCCTGGCCTTCTCATTTCTTAAGCTGATGGGAAGTTTGCATTGATACATACTCTGAGGCAGATTCATGAGGTTGAACATATGATTACTGGGTACACTGTGCCAAGAAAGAAATCAGAAACTAGTAAAACACTAGTGAGACTTCTCATGTAAACAAATCTGGAAGTTAGAAATCCTCTCTTAGCTGGGCTTGGTGGCACATGCCTAGAATTGTAGGACCTGGACGGCTGAGGCATGAGGATGGCAAGTTCAAGACCAGCCTGAGCTATACAATGAGTCCTTAGGTCAAAAAGTGATGGAAGGAGGAAGAGGAGGAGGGAGGCCACAGGATGAATGGCCCAGGGGGTAAAGACACTTGCTGTCAAGCCTGTCGACCTGAGTCTGATCCCCGAACACAGAGTTGGAGAGAACCAACTCCTGCATGTTGTCCTTGGGCCTCCACCTATGTCATACACGTATCCACTCACACAAAATAAACGAAACTAAAAAGAAAATAGACTAAAGGAAATTTCCACCAGTAGCAGGATCTTCTAGCCCACAGGAAGGACCTCTGGGCCTCTGATGGACGAGCCATGCATGAAGCCTTGGGTTCTACCTCCAGCCCTGCATAAAACCCGTCCTGGACCAGGTGGTGGAGGCAGCAACAGCAGTGCACACCTTTAATCCCAGCATTGGGGAGGTAGAGGCGGGCGGATCTTTGAGTTCTAGGCCAGTTTGGTCTACAGCCAGGGCTAGAGAGAAATTCAGTCTCAAAACAACAACAAAAAACAAAACAAAAACTACCTTGGAGCACACCTGTAATCTCCACACCCAGGAGACAGAGGCAGAAGGTCCAGGATTTCAAGGCCCCCCTCAGCTACATAATTAGTTCAAGGTCAGTCTCTGCTACAGCCACAGGAGACTGGTAGTGTCTAGGTACCTTCTCTTCTCTTCTGGATAGCTTGAGATTGGGTTGAACCGCTCCTGTAAGATTTAGGAGGATGGCTCAGTGGGTAAGAGTGCTTGCTGCTCTTGCAGAGGGCAGTTCAGTTCCCAGCACCCCCGTCAGGTGGTCTCACAACTCCATGTAACTCCAGCTCCTGGGGAGCCGATACCCTCTTCTGCCCTCCGTGGGGTACCTGCACGCACGCAGCACATGCTCACACAGATACAAGTAATAAAAATAAAAACAAATTTAAAAAAAAGCTTTACAGGGCACACCTCTTGTGCTGTCCCATGTCGCCATGCGACCTCTCAACAGTTACAAGTCAGAGCAAGCGGAGACAGGAAGGCGCACAGGATGTCAAAAGGAATCTTCTCTCTTACTTGGTTTCAGTACCAAAAACAACAGTTTCGACACATCATTACACAAACACCTGGATAGGCGAGAGAAATGAGCACGTCCCAGTCCTCGGGCAGCTCAGCCTGGAACAGTGACTCCCTTGGCACCTCGTCACTAGTCACGGAAGGGGGTGGCAAGTATTTAAATTACTTTCTACTTTTTTTTTTTTTTTTTGGTTTTTCAAGACAGGGTTTCTCTGTGGTTTTGGAGCCTGTCCTGGAACTAGCTCTTGTAGACCAGGCTGGTCTCGAACTCACAGATACTTTCTACATTTTTTTGTGTGTTTGCCTGTGTGTGTAAAGATCAGAGGACAATGTGGGGCCTAGGGACTGAACTCAGGTTGGCAGCAATCGTCCTTACCTGCTGAGCCATCTTGTGGAAATGAGGAATTTCTGATACTCCCCTGCCTGTACGTGTCTACCTGCTGACTGCGCCGGATGGAGGAGACATAAGAAGACAGCTAGCAAATTCTTTCCTAATGGACACGTTGTGTTACTTAGTTCCTTAAAAAACAATGCACAAGCTGGGCTGTAACAGACTAGTGTCAATGAAAGGACACACCTGGCCATCAAGAGAAAGGCCGAGGGCTGGGCTGGGCTGGGCTGGGGCTCAGCTAGTACAGCACATGCCAAGATGTATGAAGCCCTGGGTTCCATCCTTAGCACCAAATAAACCCGGGTGGGGGAGCATGCCTGTAATCCCAGCACTGAAGAGGTAGCTGAAGGAGGATCGGAAGTTCCAGATCATCCTTAGCCACACAGTCAGTTCCCGGTCATCCTGGGTTACAGGAGACCCCTGTCCCAACAAAGCAAAACAAACAAGAGGCAGCAAAGGCTTGGCCATCCTTGCGGTTAACTGCTGCCTGCCAAGCCCGCCCAGGCAGTGTACTCCCGAACCCCATGCCCAAGGGGTCCAGGTCCTCAAATCCACATTACAGTCGCCCACGTGGCTTTGTGCAGAATGCTCAGCTTCCCACGGAAAGAGACCACAGCAGATCCCGTCTGCTTACAGAGAAGTAAGTGGAGAAAAGGTCGGCCGTGCTGGAAAAAGCGACCCTCGCATTGTCGTCCTGCACCACGCAGCAGCAACAGAACATCACTCTGGTCTCCCACACGCTTTTGGCCGCTGTCTTCAGGCCAGTCAACAGCTGGTTTGAGTTGTTACTGTCCAGGTGCTCGGGGCAGCCTGGAGGATGTGGAGACGTCATGCCGCCCAGCGGATCAAAGACAAAAAAGATGGTGACCATGGTGGCAGCCATAACAATCCAACTGCAAAAGTAAAGCATGGGAAAGGCTTGGTGACCGAGAAGGCGGGGTGGCCCGAGTCCCCTGCAAACACACAAACTAAGCCTGCTTCTGTACTGCCGAAGGAGAGGCAGAACTCTGAGAACCCCACTGAGACAAGCAGTTTTCTTCTAGAAAGTTAGTTCTCTGAGGGTCAGAGAGAGGACTCAGGAGGTAAAGGTGCTTTTGGACCTGCATTTGATCTCCAGGGACCACATGGTAGAAGGAGAAAATCAATTCTTGCAGGCTATTCTCTATCTTCCAACATGTGCATGTCATATACCACATATGACTAACTACACAAATAAATACAGAAAAAGAAAGACAGTTCCTCATAGCGTCCCACGAAGGCCAGAGCTCTGAGAGGAAACCCCACAAAGGACACAAAGGGCTGAGGTGGGGGGCAGCACTGTAGCCTAGACACAGATGCCACTAGAACTAGTTCTCCTGGAGCCCCTGACCGTAATCCAGCTCCCCTCCATGTCCTGAGGGTCTTCAGAGTAAAACTGAAGAGTTTCCACATTATGGAACACTCCAATAGATGTCCCCCGGCCCACATTTAACTATTTCCATTTGTGTGTGTGTGTGCTGTACATATGTGTTTGTGTGGATATGTGCGTGTGTGTAGAGGTCAGTGGTTAGCCTTGATCAGTCCCTACTAACACAGGGCTCTTACTGAGCATAGAGCCCAATGACTGGGCTAGGCTCACCCAAAGTTCTAGGAATCTGAACTAATTCCTATTGCTCTCATGACAGGCTTTACTAACTGCTCCACTTCCTCAGCCTGAACTGTTTCTACACCGCCCACAGTGTGCAAGGCCCTGTGTGGTCTCCACTACAATGATGTAATGCAGACGCTGCCGTCCCTGCCTGCCTGCCTGCCTCAGGGATAGCAGCACCAGCACTGGCCTCCACTTCTTTATTCATAACAAAAAGGGACAAAACTAGACTACTGTTAAGATCTTTAGCTTGGTGGTGAGAGGGCTCGGGAGTACAGGCATCTGCTGCTCAAGCCTGACATCCCAAGTTCAATACCTGGGACCCACGTGGCTGAAGAAGAGAACTGACTTCCACCAAGTTGCTCTCTGACCTCCGCATGTGCAATAGAATATAACCATACTTCCCCACATAAATAAACAAATGTAAAGAATTAAAAAACTTTTTTAAGTAAAGAAGATGTGAAAACTGCATTCTAGTCCTTATTAGACCGCAGATGGTGGTGGTGCACACCTTTGATCCCAGCTTCTGGGAGGCAGAGGCAGGAGAACTCACAGATCTCAGTGAGTTGAAGCCAGCCTGGTGTACAGAGTGAGTTCCAGGACAGCCAGGGCCACACAGAGAAACCCTGTCTCAAACAAACAAACAAGCTTTATTAGACTATTATACACCATCTCAATTCCTGGCACTGGTTCTCCTGACCTTTAACCTTCATCTCACCTTTAACCTCCACCCTTTCCTTTGACTGTGGGCTTCTCTCTGTGTAAGGTTTATTTATTTTTATATTATGCATGTGTGTGTGTCTGTGTGCATTTGCATGTGGGCACAGGTGCCTTGGAAACCAGAAGAGGACATTCCTAGATGCTGGAATTACAGGCAGCTGTGAGCCTTTTGATGCGAGTGCTGGGAACCAAACTCAGGTTTCTCAACAGCAGCAAGTGTTCTTAACCACTGGGTCACCTCTCTAGTACCTGCCCCCCCCCCCCGACTTTAAAGAATTTATTTACTTATTTTATCTGTGTATATATGAGCTGAGAAGTAGCTGGGGCTCCTCTGAACTCAACGCTCTTGGCCGCTGTCTTCAGCTGGTCAACAAGTGGCTGTTGAATATGTAAGTGCATGACAGAAGGTATCCTCCTTGATCAATTTCCACCTTCTTCCTTTAAGGAGGATCTCTTCCTCTGAACCTGAGGCTCATGCTTTCTGGGCTAGGCTGGAAGGCTGGAAGCCCCAGGGATTCTCCTGTCCCCAGAGGTGAACATGGGAGGCCTAGTTTTTTGCACGGATGCTAGGAACTGAGCTTCGGTCCTCACAATAGCATGGCAAGGACTAGTAACTGCTGAGCTGTCTCTCCAGTCCCTCTTCCTTCTTCCTTGCAGAAAAGTGAGGTTGGGAAGAAAGTGAACACTCACAAATGTAAGTTGGAAGAGGAGTTGTTTCTCATGGTCTAAAAGCCATCCTTAAGTTTTCATGAATTACTCAGAAAGCCCCCACTCTGTGTTAGAAAGTCCCCGGGACATCAGGGTGTTACACTGCTCAGAAACACACCTGAGAAGCCAAGAGGAGGGAGACCTCACCTGACAATGACGGTGGTGATGATGCCAATCACAACTGTCTTGTCACATTGGATACCTTTTGCCACCCAGAAGGCCGCCAGAGAAGCCCAGACCATCTCTGGCAGGAAGAGCGCCAGGCGGACATAAAGCAGCTTAGCCATAGACTTCCGAGGTCCAGGGTTACAAATGGTTCCTGAAACACAGAAAAGAATGAACTGCTCACGAGCCTCCTAAGATGCAGAGCTGCCTGTCCGCAAGAAGACAGCTGGGGGGGGGGGCGGGGCTGGAGAAATGGCTCAGCTGATACAAGCGCCTGCCACAGAAGTATGAAGACGTGAGCTTAGATTCCAGCATCCACATGGAAGCTGAGAGAAAGGTGGTGTGTGTCTGTAACCCGAGGGCTGGTGGTAGTGGTCCCTGGAGCCCACTGGCCAACCAGCCTAGCTGAATCAGATTAACTGAAACCCAGTCTCAAAAGGTAAGGTGGGGCGTGACTGAAGACCTCCCCTTGATGCTTATATGCACCTGTAAGTACACACAGACATACAGACAAACACACACACTACAGGAGCTGGAAAGACTGCTTCGCAGTTAAGATCATGCACTGCTCTTGCCAAGGACCTGAAATTGGTTCTCAACACCTATAACAGGCAGCTCACAACCCCACATAAATATCTCCATTTTCAGGGGATCTGACCTCTCTAGCCTCCACGGGCACCTACACTCACACATAAACCACACACAGTCACACACACATAATTTAAACAAAGTCAATCTTAAAAAGAAAAGAATATAGCTACTGAACATCTGCATTTTGCTATACCCACCATCGGGCTCCTTATACTTGGTGACATGTGCCAAAATTAGAAAGCAAGCGGTAAAGCCGAGCGGTCCTGGCGCACACCTTTAATCCTAGCACTCGGGAGGCAGAGGCTGGCGGATCTCTGTGAGTTTGAGACCAGCCTGGTCCACAGAGCAAGTTCCAGGACTTACACAGAGAAACCCTGTCTTGAAAAACCAAAAAGGGGCGAAAAAAAGCAAAACAGAAAGAACAGAAAGCACATGAAAAATTGAGGGACGGGAGGCTGACAGACGCTTCAGGTCACCTCTCAGACTCACTCAGAGTTACGACCGCGTCTGGGCTCTCACTAAGGACTACATAATCGCTGCCCAGACTGGACTACTCCTGAGAACTGAGAGTGGCACCGTGGGTAATTACACTGCAGCAGCAGGCATTCCGGAGGGCTGCCCCAGGCAGGAAGGGAGACAGTTTAATAGCAGGAAAATAAGCTTCCCACCTACTGAACACCTTACCAAATATTTGTACTGCTAAATACTTTAACATCAATTATGCTCTAATTCTCACAAATTACAGGCGAGTCATTAACTCATCTTACAAATGAAGAAATTGAGGCTCAGAAGATACGTGTGGTGTGTGTATGTGTTTGTGTGTGGTGTGTATGTGGTATCTATATGTGTGGTATCTGTGTGTGCTGGGTGTGTGGTGTTGTTTGGTGTGTGTGTGGTGTATACATGAGTGGTGTGTGTGTCCACTATCTCCCATGGAGGCCAGAGAGGAATGCTGGGTGCTTTTCTCTTTCACTCTTCACCTTGTTTCTAAAAAGGATTTATTTTTAATTATGTGCATGTGTCTGTATGGGGAGATGGCACGTGAGGTACACATAGTGAAGCCAGAGGCTTTAGAAACCCTTGACCTGGAGCTGCAGGCAGTTGTGAGCTGCCCAGTGTAAGAGCTGGGAGTTGAACTGAGTTCCTCTGCAAGACCTCTGGGTCATTTCTCCAGCCTTCCACGCTTTAGCTTCTGAGGAAGGGTCTCTCACTTCTCATCAGTTCTCTAGGCTGGCTGGCCAATGAGCTCCGGGTGTCTGCCTGGCTCCACTCTTCCACACTGGGATTACAGGTGGACGATGGGAACAAATCACGGATTTAAAATGTTAGTGCTGGGGGATGGCTCAGCGAAGGGCACCTGCAGCTCTTGCAGAGACCCTGAGTTTGGTTCCCAGCACACCACACTGACCTCCACTCCTGGGGCCCCGATGCCCCTTCTGCCCTCTGCAGGTACTCCCACAGATGTGGCATCCCCCACACAGACACTCACACATAATTAAAAACTAAAAATAACTCTTTAGTGCTGGACATGACAGCACACACTGTTAACCCCTGAACTTGGACGTAAGTTCAAGGACAATCTGGACGACATAGCAAGTTTCATGCCAGCTGGGGTAACATGGAGAGATCCTGCCTCCAACAAGCATAGAACAATTTAAAAAAAAATTTTTTAATTATGCATTATCAAGCCTCCTGCTTGGCAGTTACACTGTAATCAGTTTTTAACTTTTCATTTACATGTATTTATTGTGTGTGAGCACATGTGTGACATGGCTCAGAAGAGGAGGTCGGGGACACCTGCCGGAGTCGGCTTCCTCTCTCAGAGGTCCCAGGCTGGGCACAGCAGCCCCTTTACCTGCTGAGTCTGGCTGGCCTCACGGCGTTCTCACTCTTCCTGAGGAACAAAGGAAGCCCGTCACTATGGAACAGTGGCTGAGACCCTAGAAAAACAGGAACCCAGGCCTGCACTGGGCTGGTAGGATACTAAATATGGACACATTCTAACATGGTCAGCAGCATCAGCGATTGGGACTTCCACATAAAAGCCTCTGACCCAACATTTACCAAATACACAGACGGACAAAGATGGAACTCGTTTAACTTCCCAGAAGATGAACGAGATACTGAAGGAAGCTGCAGCTACCTAGAGAAACACTTTTAAATTCTTAGACAATGTTATGTATATGTGGGGAACATTTTGGTCACTACCCCTCCTGCTCCTCCCACTCCTTCTGGGACCCCTTCTTCCTAAGAAGTCCCCTCCTAGCTTCGTAGCTTTTGCTTTGTTTTGCTTGTTTGTGATTCACCGAGTTTAACTAGGGTGACTGCTTAGGCATGGGCAGGGAGTAATTCCCTGGAACACGGGCAGTTTACCAGGGGCTACATCACTGAAGAAAAATGACTCCCCCTCCTTCAGCAACCATTAACTGCAAGTGGTCCCTGAGCTAGAGGTGGGGTCCTCATAAGTCCCTCCCCACCCTGTGACAGAATGTTGATGGCCTCATCTGGTTTAGATCTTAGAAAAACATTTTTAAAGACAAAGTTCCACTCTGTAGACCAGGCTGGCCTTGAACACACAAGAGATCTGCCCGCCTCTGCCTCCAGAGTGCTGGAACTAAAGGTGTGCACTACCCTGTCTGGCTAGAAAAACACTTTTATTTCCGTATTTACTTTTCCTCCTCAAGATAAATAGGCTGGTAGAGAACCCCGGTTACTTAGCAGATATTCTAATTTGATGACTCTGACCTTCAGAGACACTGCTGTCTTAGGCTGTACTTAACAAAGACTTCCTAAAGTGACCCAAGGTCCGTGCCTGAAAGCAACAAAGAGAAAGTCTATGCCACAGATTTATGAATGACAGACACCTTAGCCACTGCAGCCAACTTCTCTGACACAGAAGTTGAGCTATGAGCTCTTCAGACACAGAGAGACAAAGGACCCTACCCAGAGGGTGATTGGCAGCCGTCACATGGAATGGGTTCTTCTGTTAAAACCCAGCAGCCTTGAATGCAGACCATCCTCAGTTACCCCCTATATAGTAGCAACTGTAGGGTTTCATGGGGGGAAGTTCTGGAGGTACGAGCCTTTGATCCTAGCCCTCAACTGGGAAGCTGAATAGCACCCTGAGTTTGGGCCAGCCTGGGCTACACAGTAATATCCTGAAGAAGCAAAGAAAACACCTCAACAAAAGCAAAACTGTCCTTAACTATGCCACGCATATCTATGACTATGAAAAAGAATCATCTTGGCCCTTCTTTCCACAAACCATACAAGGAAGGTCACAAGCACTCCTGTGTGTATGCAAACATACAGGTAAAAACTGATTAATACACGCACGTTGTCACACTGGCCTCCCCAAAGGTTTGGCTAAATACATCCCCACCAGCAAATCAAGCTGCCTATTCATTTCCAGCTCCTGATGCAATGATGCGCTTATTTTAATGGGTGTGTATGTGTGTGCGTGTATGTGTGTATATGTGTGTGCGTGTATGTGTGTATATGTGTGTGCGTGTATGTGTGTATATGTGTGTGCGTGTATGCGTGTATATGTGTGTGCGTGTATGTGTGTATGTGTGCGTGTGTGTGTGTGAGAGAGACAGTGTGTGTTTGAGTCTGAATCATTTATTTTGGTTTTTCAAGACAGGGTTTCTCTGTAGCTTTGGAACCTGTCCTGGAACTAGCTCTTGTAGACCAGGCTGGCCTCAAACTCACAGAGATCCACCTGCCTCTGCCTCCCGAGTGCCGAGATCAAAGGTGTGCACCACCACCACCCTGCGGGTCTGAACCTCTTAAAATAAGAAAAAGTCTTCCTTTATTCTTCAGGCCCTTTAGTATTGTTCTACTGACCCAGGTTCTTCCCTTATTTCCTACGAAAGCCTCACTGCTGGGTCTGGTGGCCATGCCTGTGATCCCTGTGCTAGGCAGGCAAAGACAAGAGGACTGCCCACTGCAGTTTCAGGCCAGACTTCATCTCAGAAAGACCTGAGCTCTGACTCAGGTGGAAGGTGTTTGCCTCATATGCATGCATGAGGCCCTCGGTTCAATCCCTATTGATGCAAAAAAAAAAAAAAAAAAAGAAAGAAAGAAAAAAGAAAAAGGCTCTATCTATCTATCTATCTATCTATCTATTTATCTATCTATCCCTGTATTTACCAAGGAAATTACCCCTTTTCCCCCATGTGCTACAACCTCCCCACACCTTTTCTTTAATTTTCTTCATTAAAATTCGTGTGTGTGTGCATGCATGTATGTATAATTTTTTTTTTTTTGAGACAGAATCTTACTATGTAGCCCTGGCTGGTCTGAAATTTGCTATTTAGACCAGGCTGGCATCAAACTCAAGAGTCACGTACCTCTATCTCCCTGAGCACTAGGTTTAAAGTCGTGAGCCACTGTGCCCTTAAGAAGTTTCTTCTTTAAACATTTATTTGTGTGTGGTGGACACGTGTGCTGTCACACGTTTGTGGAGGTCAGAGGACAACTTGTGGGGGTAGGTTCTTTCCTACTGCGTGGGTCACAGGGCACGATCATCAGTACAGGCTGCAAACATCTTTACCCACTGGGCCATCTCACTAACCTGGCAGGGTTTTACTACGTAGCTCTGGCCGTACACTTACAGCAGTCCTCCTGCTTCTGGCTCCTACGTGCTTAGACTACAGGCACGATCAGCAGCATGTGGGCTGACAATTTAGCAAAACGTGTTACTTATAACTAAGAGCAATTAAAGGAACTAATTTGGGGGTCTGGGAGTGGTACTGAGGCCACTGAGCTCATCCCCAGGGTCTGAACTAAACTTTTTTTTCTTTTCTTCTCCTCCCCACTCCCCACCTCCTGACAGAGTTTCTCTGTGTAGTACTGGCTGCCCTGGAGCTCGCTCTGTAGACATAGGCCTCAAACTCAGAGATCTGCCTGTCTCTGCCTCCCAAGTTCTGGGATTAAAGGTATTTGCCACCACAGCCCAGCTAAACATTTTTTAAATTTCATTTTTATTCTTTTTTTTTTTTTTTTCATTTTTATTCTTGTATTTGAGCCCCCCTCCGTGTACACTGTGTGCATGCAAAGCCAGTGGAGACCAGTAGATTGCAAGAGACACCAGGAATTAGGATTACAGAACGTTATGAGCCACCTCGTGTGGGTGCTGCAAACAATTGTGTAAGAGTAGGAAGTGTGGGCTGGAGAAATGGCTCAGAGGTTAAGAGCACTGGCAGCTCTTCCAGAGGACCTGAGTTCAATTCCCAGTAACCACATGGTGGCTCACAACCATCTATAATGAGATCTGGTGCCCTCTTCTGGTGTACAGCAAACATGCAGGCTGAACACTATATATATATAAAAATAAATCTTATCTCTGTGAGTTCAAGAGCCTGGTCTACAAGAGCTAGTTCCAGGACAGGCTCCAAAACCACAGAGAAACCCTGTCTCGAAAAACAGAAATAAATAAATAAATAAATAAATAAATAAATAAATAAATAGATAAATCTTGGGCTGGAGAGATGGCTCAGAGGTTAAGAGCACTGCCTGCTCTTCCAAAGGTCCTGAGTTCAATTCCCAGCAATCACATGGTGGCTCACAACCATCTGTAATGGGGTCTGGTGCCCTCTTCTGGCCTGTTGGCATACACACAGATAAAATATTGTATACATAATAAATAAATATTAAAAAAAATCTTTAAAAAAAATTCAATTCAAACTTGGACAAGAAGGACCTGGATCAACTAACACTGGACATGCAGGTAGGGATAGAACAGAGGTCAGGGCTTCTCCAGGACAATCACCTGTGTCTGCTCATCTTGGCTGTGAGTGGAGACAGCCCCACCCAGAAGAAAAATAAAATCATGCCTTGGTTTGTTGCCAGGACCTTAGGAGGCGGGGTAAACTTTGCCCTAGGAAAGGAATTTTGACAACACCCTGCCAAAAAATTAGGTGGAGAATGATTCAGGGAGGCAGTCAATGGCGTCAACCTCCAGCTTTCACATGTGTGCAAATGTCCACACAAATGTGTACATACATCACATACACAAAGAAGAAAATACTCTGATGTCAACTGTAGTGATAGCTTTTCAACTATGGAAACAGTCGGAAACTTAGTGAAGGGCTGGGGAGATGGCTCAATGAAGAGCACCTGCTGCTCTTGCAGAGGACCTGTGCCTGGTTCAGAGCACCTGTATGGCGTGGTTGACTACCACCTGTGTGGAGTGGTTGACTACCACCTGTGTGGAGTGGTTGACTACCACCTGTGTGGAGTGGTTGACTACCACCTGTGTGGAGTGGTTGACTACCACCTGCAACTCCAGGTCCAGGCTATCCCATCCAGTGCCCCGTTCTGACCACAGCAGGCACTTACAAGCATGTGGTTATCCACACACATAAACCCACACACGATCTTAGAAGGAAAAAAGACACTGAATACACTCTAAAAGGGTGAACTGTATGCTGTACAAATGGTATCACAGTACAGCTGTTAAGATAAAAACCCAGCTTCACGCAGAAAACGTGGCTCTTTACCTCTCATGCTGACACACACCATGGCCAACACGGTGCATATGATAACTGCCAGGAGAACAAGCAGAACAATCAAGTAGGTGCTGAGCAAGGCTCCACCAGGACAGTCCAGCTTCCTCCTATGCACGAGATACAACGTCAGACTGGCGATCCATCTGCGGACAAAGAAGAAAGTGGGTTCATAAAACAAGAACATGAGGAAATAAAGGGAGTTAATATTCTCCAACACAAGGGTAAGGTTCAGTGTAGAATGTAATTTCCATCCATAAAAAGTCCACCCAGAGCTGGACTACTTGCACACACGTGGTTTTCTGCTCTTATTTTATATCTACTGCAATCCAGGAACTGGGCACGCCTGTAATCCCCAGCACCCAAGAGGCAGTGGCAGGAGGATCATAAATCAGGCCTGAGCCTGAGTTCCAAGACCCTGCACAAGGATCCTTTGCTTAAAAAGCAAATAGGCAGGGCTGCAGAGACAGCTCTGAGACAAAGAGCACTGGCTGTCTTTCCAGAGGTCCCGAGTTCAAAACCCAGCAACCACATAGTGGCTCACGACCATCTATAAAGAGATGTGGTGCCTCTTATGGCATGCAGGCATACATGTAGGCAGAACACTGTATGCATAAAAAATGAATAAATCGGGCTGAAGAGGTGGCTCAGAGGTTAAGAGCACTAGCTGCTCTTCCAGAGGTCCTGAGTTCAATTCCCAGCAACCACATGGTGGCTCATAACCATCTGTAATGAGATCTGGTGCCCTCTTCTGATGAATATATGTTAACAGAACATTGTATGCATAGTAAATAAATCTTAAAAAAAATGAATAAATCTTTAAGACACACACAAAGTCTGGGGATATAGCTCAGTTAGTAGGGCATTTACCTGGTGTGCAGGAGCCCTCAGATTCAACCCCAATGACATACACTAAGTGTACACACCTGCAACCCCAGCACTGGGGAGGTGGAGGCACGGGGATGAGAAGTTCAAGATCATCCCCCCCTCACACACACACAGTAGTTTGAGGCAAACAAGAGATATAGAAGACCCTATCACAAAGCAAAGCCTAGGCAAGCATACATAAGGGTTCTGCGGGAAAACACCTGAACACCTGCCATGACTTAGAACCATGTGAGTTGGAAACCACACGCTGTGTTGCTGAACTAGTCACAGGACGATTTGTACATGTATAGTAATGTGCAGTGTAGCCTACCACAGTCCAAAACCAAGCACGCACAAAGGAAATTATGAAAATAACTCATAGATTCAAAAAGAGAAACCCTGCGGGCTCCTGGGTACATTTTGTAATTCTGCAGTGAACAGTGATACTGCACGGACCTCCAGCAGGCAAATTCACCCTAGGGGTACGTCAGCAGAGGACAGCACCACTTAGCAAGAATGTCCGCTTTTTTAAATTACATTTATTTACTCTTTGCTTGGGGAGGAGTGTCATAGCATGCCTGCAGAGGAAGGTCAGAGCGCAATTCTTCCACCTGGGGATACAACTCTGGTCACTGGGCTTGGCCATTGAGAGATCTTGCTGCCCAAGATTGTTCTAGTAAAGATTCAACTCCAAGCCGGGTGGTGGTGGCCCATGCCTTTAATCCCAGCACCCAGGAGGCAGAGGCAAATGGATCTCTGGGAGTTCGAGGCCAGCCTGGTCTACAGAGCAAGTTCCAGGACAGGCGCCAAAGCTACAGAGAAACCCTGTCTCCCCCGCCCCCCCCCCCCCGCCACCACCCCTCCCCCCCCAAAGATTCAAATTTCAAAGCCCAAGAGGTATCATTCCAGGTGATGGGGATTTAGCTCCGTTGTAACTCATTTGCCTAGCAGGCATGAATGAGGCTGGGCTCAAGCATTAGAGGGGGAAAAATGAAGGATTGCTTTGGGTAGCTTTTCTCAAGATAGGGTTTTGTGCAGCCTAGTCGCCCTCAATACGTATCCAAGGGTGAATTTGAACTCCTGATCCTCTTGCTGCCACCCCCTAGTCCTAGGATTACAGGTGTGCACTGCCACCACGAGCTGTGTGTGGTGCTGGGGATCCAGGCAAGGGCCTCATGCATGCGAGGTGAGCACTCTACCAAAATGAGTTACACCCCCCAGGTCCTAGATAACTTTTTCTGTCCGTTTTGCAAACACCAAGGCTCCGTGTCTGGAAATAACTGCAAAATGGTCTGAGAAAAACCCAGCCCTTAGAAGCAGAAAGTTCCTAGAAAGAGCTTCTGTGTTCCCATTCCTTTCCTCCTTGAGAATGCTTTTTCCTAAGAACGCTATTCCTCGTTGCCAGGCATGCCAGGAGCTGACTTCACGCACTAGTGCCGTTTCCCATTGAACGTGGCTACGTTTTGCAAAACCAACCTATTATACTTGTTTCTGTGAATTGCTCTGAATTTGTAATTGCTCAAATGTTTGTTTTTGTAGAAACAGGTTACTTCGCTACCCGCCCAGCAAAAAACACGGGAGTGATGCAAAGTTCCAAAGCCGGAATCCCGAAAGGAGAGACCTGGAGGCTACGGATTTTTGGATGCTCACGCTTCACTCACGCTCCCAGTGCCAGGGTTCCGCGCCGCACCCTAGCGCTCGTGCCCCGCGGCGCTGCAGGACCGGGACACCTGTCAAATGCACAAAGCGACTGCCTACGGTCTAGGTGCAGACAGACCGAGCTCGGCAGGCGCGGCTGCCGTTAAGTACCGAGGAGGGCGACTTGGATCGCCTTCTGCAGCCACAGCGCGCCCTCCCGCCCGCACGGCGGCCTCACTTACGACAGCACACGCAGGAACAGCTCGAAAGTCCCGGGGAACACCAGGTCGTCGCTGGCCAGGGACCAGCGCCGGCCGAACAGCACCATACCCGGCATGGTGCACCTCCTACTGCGCCGCCCTGAGTCGCGCGCGCCCTTCTGACTCCGTGGGCGGCCAGGGCCTCAGGACGCGCAGGCGCACGCTTAAGTAAAGGCTCGCGCATGCGCCCTCTGGCCCGAGGCCTGAGCACGCGCATTGATTAGCACGCCGCCGGCTTGGCTCGCTTCTCAGATCTGCTGGCCCGGAAGTTAGCTGCTGGCCAGCGACTGCGGATCGGAGTGTGTGTGAGGTTTGTTCCGATGTGGTCATTTCTGTTTAACAGATAAAGATTCGGAAGACCTGTAAAGACTGCTCTCCCCACACTGCCGCGGCCGCTAATGGCGAAGCTGGGACTTATGCTTGGGTCTCTAAATCTAAGCTTGGGGCGACTTTACTGTCATTTGTGGTTCCTTAGGACTCAAGACTGAGTTCAAGTCTGACAGGCCACCCAGCGGTTGGCGAGATAAGGTCTGACTCCTTTTCGCAGCTCCACGGCTCTCCCTTCTCTCCTACACACCGTGGTGTAGCCACCTTCATCCCTGCTCCTGGCCAGTCTCGCTCGTTGCCGTTCTTCCCCACAGTCCCCCGGGTCACATCGGTGACCCGTCAGACGTAGTCTAGGTTATGCCTAAGACTTGCAAGGCTGCTCTTGGGCACAGAGTACATCTTAACTCTTCGCAGAGATCTTGCTAGCAGAGTCTTACATCAAAAGCTCGTAATTCGTGTCTGTATTCCCAGTCTTCCACCTGCTGTCGTCCACCCTCACATCACGTCCCTTTTAGTTACCCAGTGTTTTTGTGTCGGTGGTGTGCATGTGCGTGTTTTTGCATGTGTTTGGGGTGCACCGTGTAGTAGATGCGTGTGCATGTGTGCTCATGCATGTGGCGGGCTGAGGTTGATATCAAGAATCATACCCTCTCTCCAAATAAAGGCCAGATGGTGATGGCGCATGCCTTTAATCACAGCGGTCGGAAGACAGAGGCAGGCAGGTCTCTTCTATGAGTTCGAGGCCAATCTGGTCTACAGAGCTAGTTCCAGGACAGCCAGGCTTACATAGAGAAACCCTGTCTCGAAAAAAAAAAAAAAAAAAAAAGAATCATACCCAATAACTCTTCACTTTGTTCACTGAGGCAAGGTCTCTCAATCTAATACAGAGTTTGCTGATATGTGTAGTCTTGCTAGCCAGCTTGCTGTGGGGATCTTCTGACTGCCCCTTCCTAGGTTGTAATTACAGGTGTACTTCCTTGCCCATCCTGCATTTTCTTGGGTTTCTAGGGATCTGAATTTTATTCCTCACACCAGTTCAGCAAGTCATCTCCTTAGCCCCTCACCCCCAAATTTTAACATTTTCTGTTTCCTCTTATGGAGATGGTATCTTACAGGTATTTTTCTTTTGCCCCCCCCACACTTATTTTTTTCTTTTTTTTGGTTCTGGGGATTTGTTAGGCCAGCACTTTACCCCAGCTGCTCTGTCTCTGAATCTCTTCATCCAGGTCTCAGGTGTGGAGTCATTATTTCCCAGACGCCTCTGTGAAGCCCTTAGCTAACAGCACAGCACAGCGTGGGCTCCTTTTCCTAACTCTTCTTTCTTTATTGTGTGCTGAATCTCTCCCTGGCCCAAGTGTGACTGCTGCCTGGCATGCTGATAAATTGAGACTTGGTGTTCAGGCAGGAGGATTAATTTTAAGGTCAGGACTTCGAATTAATTGAGAAGATGGAGGATCTGTTAAAATGTCCATCCTAAGGCTGGGGATGTAAGTCAGTTGCTGAGTGCTTGCCTAGCGTGCACAAAGACTTGATTTCTACCCCAGCTGCTGTGTAAACCAGATGTGGTGGGACATGCCCGTGATCCCGGTTACTGGAGGTAGAGGCAAGAGGTCATTCTCAGCTACATAGTAAATTCAAGGCTAGCCTGGGCTACTTGAGACTCAGAAGTCTGAAAACAAGGTCCATCTGGGGAGAAAAAAATTTGGGAGTCCTTTAAGTAGGCTGACAGGTGCTCCCAGGCTGGTGGGAAGATGATAGCGTGTTCAGAATCTGTGTTCCTATCCCTTCACTCCCTTGAGGATGCTTTTCCTGAGAATAAGACTCCTCATCGCTTAGGCATGCCAGGACTGACTTCATGTACTGGTGCCGCTTCCCACTGGGCCCACATTTTGCAATAAAAGTTTATCTCACCGACTTCTCTCGAAACCCAGGCACTGTTGGCTACTGTCACAACGCTTTTCCGTTTTGCTAGGACAGGCGTTGTTTCCTCACGCTGCTCTTGTTACTGTAGTTTGCCCAAATAGTTTCCTGACATGTTATACAATGGAGGGACCAGAGGGGATAGCTGTCACCCTTTGCCGATAGACAAAGAAAAGAACTCGTACTCCACCTGAATATTGTGGACATCAAGGGTAGGGTGAAGTTAAATAGAGAGTCACAGATCTCTGTCCAGCTACCTTTTTTTTTTTTTTTTTTTGAAGCAGGGTTTCTCTGTGTAGTCCTGTTTGTCCTGGAACTCACTCTGTAGAGCAGGCTGGGTTCAAACTCGCAGAGACCCACCAGCCTCTGCCTCCCGAGTCCTGGGATTAAAGGTGTGCACCAACTGCTCCTGGCTGCCCATCTACTTTTTAAAAAATAGGTTTGTTTTTGTTTCTCATTATGTGTATGTGGAGTGGGAGTATGTGCATGTGTGCATATGTCTGCGGAGGCCAAAAGAGGAGAGGGCATATATATTATATGTACAAAGTTGGGCTTTCTTGGTCAACAGTCTGTAGTCTGTAACTCTCGCACCAACCCTCAGTGGCCGTTTTGCAATTTGCTTTCCTGGGGAACCTCTGATGGAAGGGCAGGAGGTCAGCATTTAGTGTCTCATCAAACAAGGTGGGCGAATTTTTAAATCTTTGGGTAATCTGGTCCATGTAAATTGCCTGCTCTAGGGGCTGGAGAGATGGCTCAGTGGTTAAGAGCACTGACTGCTCTTCCAGAGGACCTGGGTTCAATTCTGAGTACCCACATGGCAGCTCACAACTGTCTGAAGATCCAGTTGCAGGGGATCACACCAATGCACATAAAATGAAAAATCAAATAAACTTTTTTTAAAAAAAAAAAAAAAGTTGCCCGCTCTAACTGACCTGGGTCTGTCCATTTAAAAGCAAAGACGTGTTGACTCACCTCTGCCAGTGTGAGGATGAAGAATGCATCCTTCAGGTTCATGTGTACCTGTTTCCCTGGAAGAATCAGACTCATGAGAATCCAAGATCCCAGGTTTGTTCATAGGCAGGAGGTGCAGGGTCACTGGCAGGGCACCGGGAGGCCTGTCCCTTCAAACCAGGCAGTAAGGACTGCAATTTCCCCTCTTGTTTCCAGGGTCACTGGGTACTGTTTAATACAGAGAAAGATAGCTGAACTGGTTAGTTGAGAAATATAGGAGCTTGGTGTTGGGCTAGTCCTCGGGGGTTGATTTCTTCTGACGGGGGACAAGACAACATTTTGCTGGATATCTTTAAGTTCACCTGTGCCTCATCATCAGAGAAGGTGATAGTGGCTTTCAATCTATGCAAAAGGTTTCGTCCCCATAGGTTCTCTGTTGTTAGACCCCTTTGAGCTACCTCCAGCAACTGGGACCTGCTTACACCTTTACATTTTTCTTTGCATTTTTTTTTTTTTTGATTTTTCGAGACAGGGTTTCTCCTTAGCTTTTTTTGGTTTCTGTCCTGGAACTAGCTCTTCTAGACCAGGTTGGCCTCGAACTCACAGAGATCCGCCTGCCTCTACCTCCCAAGTGCTGGGATTAAAGGCGTGCGCCACCACCGCCCAGCTACCTTTGCATTTTTCTAACTCGCTTTTAATATCTGGGTCCCACTGGGTAACAAAGGAAATATTTTTTGTTTTGTTTTTCAAGACAGGGTTTCTCTGTCTAACAGCTCTGACTGTCCTGGAACTCGCTCTGTAGACCAGGCTGGCCTCAAACTCACTGAGATCCACCTGCCTCTGCCTCCTGAGTGCTAGGATTAAAGGTGTGTGCCACCACGTCCAGCAAAAGGAAATCTTTTTAACAGCTGTCTTTAATCTTTCTAAAAAGTATCTGGTGAAATTGCTTCAAGTCTCTTTGGTCAGCTTTGGACAGAAGGGGAAAATCTTCCATCCAGGCTTTGTGGCTTTGCAGCAATGCCCAGGGGCAGTGGTTTGTTTGTTTGTTTGTTTTGTTTCATTTTTTTTTGTTTTCTCAAAGAATAAGGGGTTTTACAGATCATTGGTTGAAAAAGAGACATAGATTATGAAAGAGAAAGGAGAAGAACTTTCTCTTTTCCTCCAGGCTCAGCCCAGAGGAACTTTTCTCTTCCCCAGGGCTGCTGAGAGCAGGCAGAGTGGAGGGATCTCACACCCTTCCCGTGTGCATTCCACTTAGGTGGGTGGTGCCCTGGGTGAGAAGCCAAACCCCTCCCTCCTCCCATGCAGGGCCCAACCCTGACTGAGCAGGAGCCAAGCAACCAAACAAGCAGGTGCTCCTGCTCCCTGAGTGGGGCAGGTGGAGGATTTTTTTTTGTTGTTGTGGATTTGTTTGCTTTGGTTTTTTATTTATGTATTTTTTGGTTTCTCTGGGTGACCTGGCAGAGCTGAGACGATTTGAGTCCCCCACAGGATGAGGCACAGGTCTTAAGCCAGGAGGTCCTTACACCAGAGAAAGCCACTGGTCAAAACAGAGAAACAGAACTGACAGAAACATACAGAAGACACACACATACACACTAGACAGCCGGGGTGGCCACCACACATTCATACGCCTGCACAGACAAGCGGATCTAGCGACACCTCATACGGATCCCAGACCCTGAATCAGCGCTTGCATCCAACCTCTCCTCCGGGTCCAGACAGAAGCCGCCTTAACCATGCTGGTTCCCAGAGGTGACAGACCAAGCAACTTCCTGATTTGTTTCCTTCTGGGGTGGAGGCCTCAGACCCTCCTGAGTCGTTAGGTAGGGATGGTCGAAGGGAGTCCTGGGGACCTGGAACACCCTCTAGGAGCCACTTGACTCTTCCTCACTCCAGGGGGCTCTGAGACTCGCCCCACCCCCACGTCCCGAGGTCTGGTCTCTGGGACCTCAGT